AACGCTTGACAGGCACAGCCTGACCATGTGACTCCGTATTGGCCTGTGACGCTTAACACTTACAGACCGTCTGGATGATCGTGTTTATTGTAACATTTTCCTTGGCAAATTGCCTGAATGGAATCTTTAGTTTGGCTGGGTAGACAGACTGTCGACATTGCAGACTTTGCCTTAAAAAATTCAAACTAACCCCAAAGATAATTAACTTTATACTGGGGAGAAGTGGTGACACGTTAAAGTGGTGGTGGGGGAAGCGGCACTGAGATGTTGTGGTGAAGGGCAAAGCAGGCAGGGGATAGTTCCTTTTATTTCATTTTTTCAAAATAATTTTACAGTACTCCTTGTTTGATGTTGTTCCTCTTGTCATGAAGTGTTATTCCCTGCCCAAGTTTTAGCTTGCTGTTAGTCGTCGACGCTGGGCAGAGTTGGAGCAGTGAACCAATTTGGGATGTAACATTTTGGCTTGAGCATACAAAACAAAAAATAAGCTTTGTTGTCCTGAGACCTACTTATAGGCACCACAGACTGAACGGGATTCAGAAGTATGATGAAACAATCTGTGTCAATGAAGCTTGGTGTGGAAAGTGTGTGAAGAACATTACATAATCGTATAATCATTAAATTCAAATTTAACCAGTGTGTATTTTGCAAATTTTCTTTTGTGACCTTCTTACATGAAGAAATGTCTCACATTGACTTATTATAGTTCCCAGTTTTGTTTTCTAAAGAAAAGATATACATTAGTTGTTGTAAATTGTACCACATGGTAAACCAGTTAAAAAGTAATCCCTGGCCACGTCTGTACCTTGTCCATCTTCTTCCCAGTGCCGCCTGGCAAAGGCTGTACCCAAACAACTAGCAAGAACACAGGCACCTGTTGGAGCCAGTGGCTTGTAGCCACTTTCCATAGACATGTGTACTGTTACTGGACTTCCAATCCAGGCCAAATCTACCTGCGCTATCCCCACTTTGCCTCCCTATCATTATTATCTATCATTGCATAGTCTGTCCTCCAGCTGAAGATAACATTGACCAGGGGAGCGGGGGACCTGGGGACCATACTTGCCAGATTGTAGCCTCGTGATTCAGGTGCAGCCTATAAGCCACAGTCACCACAATAAGTCTCCATGCGTCCACCTGAAGCAGAACTGATCTCATGGTTTATTCTTTATCCAAGGCTAGCAAGATGGTGATTTTCTTCGACAACGGTATGAACTCACATTCACTGCGAGTTGGAGTCTGTGGCTAGACACAGCTATCGGCACCATGTCTGTCCAGATTCCAGACCCCAGTGAGCTTTTCCCTTTGCTGCTGTCCAACGACCTCCATGTCATCCAGGAGATCAAGTCGTTAATCCAGGACAGTCTAAACTCAGGTAGGTACAATTTTTGGCACATTCTCCGGGAGCCCTTTATGGGGTGTTTGCTCTGTGTAACTTTGAGCAGTGCCAGGAATGGAATACTTCACTGCCTGCCAACTTCAGTGACTTCAAGGAAGCGTTTGACAGCTTAACTAGCAGAACACACCCTTGGAAAATCTACGTGCTTACGCTGCACATACCCAACAAGATGGTCACAATGAATGATTATACTCGTCAAGGGTTACCTTTTTCCCACTAGACATGCACAGTGGCCTTTGAGTATCAGATTGATTTCCAAAAAGTGATGAATCAATTTCTTTCTCCTTATTTTGGTATTATTTTAAAGTAAGCACTCTACTTTTTGCTGGTTGGCTACAGCGGCATGTGTTTTGTTTGGTCTTGAATGTCTGCTGTACCTAGAGGAATCCTACAATGATAATAAAAATATTTTTAACAAATTTGCTTTGTTGTTTGCAGCCAGGGATCCCGGATTTCTAAATGCCCTTGTAGATTTCTACATTCACACCAATTCCAATAATGCACTGGAACTGTTGGCCGGCATACGAGAGCCTTTGGACAAGGTAGTATGTGCTGATAAGTTATATCTGTCTTGACACTGAGCATCTAGGCAGTCATTAAAACTTGCAACCTGGAGATGTAACACACTCATGAAAAGGTCATAGAATAGGTAACCTGGAAGAACTAAAAGAGCATCTTCCTTTCGAGATGCTCCAATGAGAGATATCCACTTTGCCAAATTCATAGTAATGTTGATGCACTCTTATACAAGCATGCAACTTTTCCTTGGATCAGCTGATTTCCTCTTTTTTCACTTCACACTTATGTCATTGAAAATGGAAAAACACTGTACAAAGTCTTATAAAGATTGGAATTTCCTCTTTTTTTTGCCAAAGTCCATGTTGCATGCCTGCTTATATTAAGCCCTGAGGATGTCATTAAAAACAGCAATAGATTCCATACAAATTGTAACCCTGTAAACTTTATATATAGACAGTTGCTCAATGGTTCTAGTGGTTTATTTCTTTCTTGTAGCCACTGATGGACCGACTGAATGACAACATGAAAGCTGGCCATAAGCTTCAGAGTTTGACACTCTTGAGTCACGTGGTCAGACATCAGCCATCGTGGCTTCATAAGATCGTGCAAGCACCACTGTTTACCTCCCTGCTCAACTGCCTCAGGGTAAAAATGCTAGTTTCATGGATTTGATGGATAGAATCGGGACAGTTGTATTTATAGATTTGCCTTAGGTTGCAGATTATCTTCATGCTTTTGATCTTTGCCTTTTTTTCTGACTTTTCCTTTAGATGGACACGGATGTCCCGGTCATAATGTGTGGGTTGCTGACGGTAACTACTCTTCTGCCCATGATTCCTAGCCTGGTCAGTCCATTCCTTCAGGACATCTTCGGTATATTCTCTCGTCTGGCTTCCTGGACCATGAAGAAACCTGGTAGGTCATGAGTTTTTGTAACACCGCATCTGCATGGAGTCCTCATGGTAGAAGCATGGTGTGTTAAGTAATATTTGATCCAAACCATTCGTCCTTCTAATTTACAGTGCTTTCCAAACTTTCTTACTCTCTCACACTGATAATTCCTGAAGGAGGAGTGTTTTGCCCCAAGTAGCTTTTTGAATTCACCTGTTCTTAAACAGTTCCCATGCTGTTTAACCTTTGTTCTCATATTTGCAAACAGGTGGTATACCGGATGTGTACCATCTCCACATTCAAGTTGCTGTCTATGCCCTCTTCCATCGTCTGTACGGCATGTATCCATGGAGCTTTCTACAACATCTGAGATTCTACTACCAAAACAAGAAGATTGAGTTTGAAGCAGCAGTCCTGGTGAGTGTTTCTGGTTGCTGTATGTTTCCTGGTTAGTCTGTTTAATTTTGTACTTCACAATCCAAATAAGTTTGGCTGTGATGGTGAAGCTGTTTTGTTCCTTTCTTGCAGCCTATGTTGGAGCGTGTTCGCATGCACCCTTCTTTAATTACTGGCTCTGCGCAATCTGAAATGGAAAAAACAAGGTATGATAACGCTTCTTTCATCTCAGTTCACATTGGGTTATGAAAGTTGAGGTTGTGCTAAATAAACCCCTAATTATTACAGGTTGTTATTAATGAGTGTGATATATTGTAAATGACCCAACCACTCAACCATATCACTACGTATAGTCAAAACATAATTTTAAGTACATTTGGTCTGTTCAGTATTTCTACAAATTGACTTGAGCGAAATCTGTTTTTTATAATACCAAAACAGTCATTATTTAGAAGCTTTTTTGGTCTAAAAGGATAGTAGAGAATGGACTTAAATTTGTATGATTTACCTGGAGTGTTTTTTACAGCGTCTGTATTATTGTTGCAGAGTTTCCTAATTGACGTCTTTCCGTTTGCTCCCCCCCCCAGATGGCGGCAGATGGAGGTCCATGACGTACTGATGGAATGTGCCCGTGTTTCCTTGGATACGACAGAATCAGCCAGAGATGATTCCTTCAGCTTCACAGCTGTATCTGTGGGCCATGACCTCGAAAGATCAGGGTCAAAGGGCATGACAGGTCAAGGCATCCGCACTTCCTCACCTATTGTTGATCCTCAAGGTAGAAATCCCCACGCTTCTAAGTCATAGATGCTTTTTTGTTTAAGTTATACGGAGAAATATTGTTGGTGAAATTCAGCTCAACTTTTGTACAGTGTGGTTTTGTTGAAGAATGAAGAGTTTTGTCCTTGGTCCTTACATTTGGCAGGCTTATTTAAGCCTGGCCCTTGACATTGTCTTGAATATATTTTAAAATGCTTGAACTTCTTGGAACAGAAAGGTGGATAAGACATTAGTTTTCACTGATTGTCAGTAATTACATGTGAGTGTATTTTCTTTTCAAGGGGTAGAAACAGCTCACAAGCCAGTTATACAGTGGGAAAACGACACCAAGAAAAGAGATCCTGATGCCCAAAGTCTGGTCTCGTCTCAAGAGGGTGGCATATCCATGTTCAGCCCCTCCATGGTTTGTGGACTGAGTACGCCTCCACAATCCCATCCTCCGTCCCCCCAAGGCAGCCAGCTAGACATCAGTCTGACATCCTCTGTCCACCTTCTATACACCACCCCTCACCTGGACACCCCTACCCCGCTGTCGACACCCCGCGATTCCCCACACCCAAGCGCCGCAGCACGGCTCAGTAGTCGCATGTCCAGCATGAGTGACACCAGCGTCCACAGCCGGGGGAGTAAGTCCAAGGCATCATGGGGTAAACTCCCGCCGATAGCCACTCAATCATCCATGGCTCTTGGCCGCACTGTCTCAGCACCCGTAACGCCGGGATACGAAACGAAATCTCTCCCAACTACTCCTCAAAAGCCACTCATCCAAGCCAAGGCTGCTTCTCACGAGATCACAAAGCAAAGAAGATTCGTCTGGGAGGATGCCAATCTGAGCGACTCTCTCCACAGCAATGGAGACCTATCCCTGATGGGGAAACAACACAACGAGGAGGACATGACGGAGGCAGAGACAAGAACTGAAAGGGCGGAGAGCTCGGTCTCCTTGAAGGACCTCCCTGGCGTCATCAAGGATCTAAATCATGAGGAAGAGAGACCCAAAGATGGTTAGTAAGGCTGGGTAGAAATTGGTCACTTCTGGTTTTGGTCTTGATAGCAGCTGTCAACTCCATACCCATCATGACTCTCCTAAGCAATAAATAAAATAAATGAGAAAACCTTTATCAGGCTACAACTATCAAGGTTTGGTTCTTCAGATGCCAGAGACAGCCCACCACAAATACTACATCCAGGCCTTTGTATGATTATGTTTTTGTATTTCAGAAGTTTTCTTATATTCTTGCAAATAACAAGTTTCTCATGTTTACTTTTTCAGTTGAAGCAATGAACGAAGAGGTTTCATCCTTCACTGATAGTCCGTGTGCACTCCGTGACTTTGAAAATTCTGGAGGTTCTGGTGGTAATGTTCCTATCCAAAGTCAAACTACCCAGAAAACATCTGATGCGAGTGAGGAAATGGACTCAACTGAAGTCTCCAGCTCATCCGACCAACCCACACTCACCAAGGCCCAGGAGAGTTATGCAAGTCATCAGCTGAATGGGAATGCACGACCGGAGACCGTTCGAACCCAGAGTGATCCCAGCGCCTCATACCGGAGCGCAGCAGTCAAGTCATTGGTGGAAAGCGAGTCACGCCCTCGAACTAGCAGTGTTGGCAGCAAGCCAGTCAGCAACATATCGGCTGACCTCTTTGGGGTCAGAAGGTCACAGGAAGCCACCACAGAACAACGTTCCACCTACCAGGGTTTCCTGCCTATCTCAGATAGCTCTGAATCGCCAATTTTGAGACCAGGGGCTCAGAGCACTGCATCAGCTGCTTCCAGCATCCTCGGGCCATCCTACTTCCAACAGGCATCCCTGCAGATGCCCTATAAACATCTCTTCAACCTGATTTTGCCAACCCTTCAAAATCTGACCTCTGCTGGTTCGGCGAATAATTCCCCCTCTGTTTCCAGTGCAAACACCACCGGAAGTGGGCTGTACGCCACACCTCCCCCGGCCTCTAGGGCGGAGTCTGCTCTGTCTGGGGGCACCCCAATCGACAACATTGGCACAGTACCCTTGCATTCATTGTATTCACCGAGTCAGTTGCTAGATCGACACCTCCAGCTTGGAAACCAGATTCATGATGATCAGCTGATAGGGTAAGCCATGTGTTCAAGCCTTTTGTTCTCCAACCAAGCCTTTATTCTCAGTTTTTGTTTGAATGTCTAACCTACAGTGTCTTTTATTGCTCTCAGTTTTTTCATTTTTTACCTCAGGATCATGTGAACTCAACAGTTATTTTGTTCCCCATACAAACAAATCCTGCCCACCCTTGTGAAATCCATTTCGCTTTGTGCACTTATAAACGAGAAATCAAATTGTCGGGGATATATTTCTCTAATGGTTAGATTTTGCTTCTTTCAGTTTGCCCTTGACCAGTCAAGAGTCAGTAGACTGGACTCATTTTGGGGGTAAGTTTGCCTTACTGTGATATAATTTCAAAAACACTCCAAAGGAGACACGGGCCTTTGGCTCTGCCACGCCCTCTTGTAGTGATGAAAACCAGAGCGTCTAAATTTGCACCTAATGTTCTCTATCCAAGTTTCATCTTAACGAGGTATACTTTGCAGGCTCGCCTCCAGTAGATGAAATCAAGCTCTTAAAGGGTCAACTGCAATTGCTACACAACCAACTCCTGTATGAGAGACACAAGAGAGAGGTACATGCAGAAAGGAACAGACGACTACTGGGCAAGACGCACAAGGTAATTAGAGCCGCATTCAGTCAAGAGGTCGTAGAGGTCATAGGCCTCGAGCTGGACCAAGAGAGGGCAACATTTTTCTTAGCAATGGAGGCTCCTTTGGTGAGAACTGAACTTAATTGGTTTGCGAACGACTTGGAAATGCATGCAAGACAGTCACATTGCTACCAACAACTGAACAGTCCTGAGCAACATGGCTCTTTTCAACAGATGAGGGAGTGCTTCTGCTCAAGGCAGATTCTTTCGTTTCAAGAGTTTTTATTGCAATCATTGCCAACTTTTATCTTTTTCTTTACCATCTTATCATCAACACCAATATAAAGTAGTTTGTCTTCTCGTTTTGCATTTTTGTCAACTTCAGCTACATGTTAAATGCACTGATGGAAAGCACCATCAAATGAGTTACATCTTGACCAAAACCAAAAATCAAGTAGATGTGTCAATTTTGTCTTGCTTTATTGTTCCATCCACCCGTGATTCTGTGATTCTCTTGATTAATTTCTTCCCGTTCTGTTTAACTATTAGAAGTGTGATTAGTTATTGATCTCTTATCGATCATCGCCAATCAGTATTCATGTTGTAAGCAACACTTGGGGAAATGATTATTTCATTTATATACTTTTGTTTTATTTTTGTAACATAATTTAATGTTTTCGGAAATAATTTATAAAAAAAAAAGAATTGTCTTTCTGTGAACTGATTTCGGCATTGCTCCATCAGGCCAAAGCGCTGGAGGAGTCCAATGCTGCCATGCAGAAGCAACTACAGCTCCTGGAGATGGAAGTCAACCAGCTCAAAGCGGCCTTCAAGCTACTCCGGGAAGAGAACAAGCAGCTAGTGGAAGCAAACTTCAGCAAAGACCAGACCCACAACACACTCATAAAGTGAGTTACTTACGCTCGCAGCAGAGCTCAAAACCAGAAAACTTGAATCCAGACGGCCTTGTAGGTTCCGATGGCTCAAAATCCTAGAGGACCTTGGCTGGCAATTTGGGTTCTTACCTGGTAGTCCTGTTTTCTTTGAAAACTCATTGAAAATTCACAGTGGATTGCCATGAGCCCAATGGCAGTATGTGTGCCATAGCTGTATCTTTACATAAGTCCCAGAATGAATCTTGAGACTAGGCAACAGTTCAGCAGACAATCTTTCAAGTCTGTGTTTGATTGTATGGCTTTGCTTTGTAGGAAATTACAGAGTGACAACGACCGCATGAAAGACGCCAAAGAGGAACTGCAGAAATTGCTGGTCGATCACAGACTTCAAGTGGACAAGGTGACAAAGGTATGTGCCGAATACACCCTTCAGTCCTCGCTCTTCTTAACGGAACCCACCATGGCCCACAAGCTCTGATCGATAGATCACACTGACGTTGCCCACACTGATGGTCCATGAACCATTCAAACAGTTTCCCTCTGACCATTATAAGCGCTTTGACGTTTGACTTTTCAGGAGCTGCAGACAGTCAATGCTGAGTTCTTCACTGTGCAACAGGAGTTAGAGAACACCAGAGCAGACATAGCCACAAACAGACATCTTAAAGATGAGGTACAGGAAAGCTGAGAGATATAGAGGGGTTTGCATGGCTGCCATCTTGTAGGCCCGGGCTGTTGTTCCACAGGGCTTGCACAAAGGAGGTTTCCCTGCTGAACAAAAGAACTGCACTGCAAGATGGCTACCACGCAAAGCCTCTATAAATGTACCTACACCAACTTGGTCAATACAAAAACGCAAGTCCTCTATCGTCTTTTTTGTGTGTTGCCAGCATGTGGGGTGCCATTTGCCTGGTGACTGAAGGCTTTTTCATTAATTGTTCTTCATTTTTCCTACGAAGTTGTATCGAGAATAACCACGTTACGACCCTCTTCTTTTTTTTGGTCTCAACCCCCCCTCCCCCCCCAGATTGCCCGGTTGAACAAGGAGCTTCTCCTGATGGGAGAAACCAACGTGAAGTTCCAGGAGAGAGTCAGTGGGGTGCAACGAGACGAGAATATGAACGATGAAAGGGAGATGAGTTGGATCACCCTCAAGAAAGACCTGGCAGGTAGGACAGAATGGGGGTGTAGGCTCCACCCCTGGGGAAATTGATGTCGTGGTGGAAATATGTGGTACCATTTACAGAAGTGTGATGATCAAGTAATCAATTCTGAATGAGGTGACTTTCAGATGGGACATTGCTTTCTATTCAAGTAAACATTGTACCAAGTGTGGTCTCTCGTATCCTACAAAGCATAAATAAGCTCACAGTTTGGGTCACTATTCATGTTACCTGCCTGGTTCTCAAAGGGTTTCTCCTAGTGGATCACATGGCTAAATAGAATGCATTGGCTTTATGTGTGTGGGTGTGTCTTACACCAAAAGTGCCGTGTGAGAACAATCCACGTTGTGATATGATCAAAGCTTCACGCATGAGTGATCAGGATTGACATTCCTTGAATGGCAATTGCTTTTAGAGTTGTGGGCTTATTGGAAAACCTTATGGATTGTTTGCGGTTTCTGACTTTTTTCCCAGCATCCCAAGAGGCGCTGAAGGTGAAAAGTGTCCAGCTGGAAGCTGCCCATGCCCGCATCACTGAGATGGAGGCTCTCTTGTCTCAAAAGGTTAGACGTGTTCCTTGTTTTTCTTTCTGTGCAATGTTTTGTAATCACACCAAATGTTTAAAAAAGTGAGTATTTGATGGATTTATTTTGGCTTTTTGGACAGGAGCTCGCAATGGCTGAGCAGAAGCGCTTTTTGGAGAATGTGAAAAGTCTCACCAAGGGAAAGATTGAGGTAGGGATGATGGATTTGTGTTCATTCAACTCAAGGGATTCTACAGTGACTTCAGTCCACTTTTGACAGCCTCAAAATCAAGGCTCTCACGCATCAGTGTTTTGTTGCAATAAGATGAGCTAAAGCTTCCTCCTTTCTTGTGTTTGTCCCAGGCAATGGATGGTAAATACAGCATGCTCCAGAAGATCAATCAACGGCTAGAGGCACACATCTTGAAGCTGACCAAACACTTGAAGGAGAAGGACAGAAGGCATTATCCCTCAGTGGGGAGTGTCATCTCTCGCAGTCAGTCACTCATTACGTCACAGACAGAAAACGTCCCCAAGGGATCCAGAAGCGACAGTCTAGACTCTGGCCAGCTTTTGAGATCTGTCAAGGGGTCACGTCTGATCCAGAAGGCCCCCCGGCCAGCCTTGGAGAGAAGTCAGTCTCATGAGGAATCCCAACAAACCATGCTTCTCCCGGTCTTTGCAGGGAGCAGCCAGCAAGAGTCGATCGTCCAGTCACAGAGCTCAAAGTCCAGCCAGGTGGTGAAGGAGACTCCCCCAACGACATCTAGTGCGTCTGGAAGTCACTTAAGCCCGCACTCAAGCCCCATGAGTGACTGGGAACATGTTAGCAGTGAGACGATTCCAAAGAGCAGCAGAGTCCCGAAGCAGCCAGCAGAAGCCATCAGGGTCCCTGTACCAGTGGAACGGGCAAGGATTCGGGATGAGTCACCGAGTCATCTCAATGTTAACAGCCCACCGCTTATCTTTAGCGAGTCGTCCCCATTTCAGAGGGTTCAGCAGAGCCCTCGTTTGGGCACGAGACACAGCTCCCTGTCGCCATCCAGCAAGATACCTCTGAACTCGCCCGGGCGGATCGCGATCAGCTCGGGCCCCAAGAGCCAGTCCTGCCCCAACCTGGAAGCCGACATTAAAACGGCCGTATCGCCGTGCCAATTCACGGGTGCTTTTCCAGCACAGGCCGAGGAGGGGGAGGAGTCATTGCAGGAAGGGGAGGAGGCCGGTGGCAGTAGCTCCACGCCACCCGCTGCTGTCGTAGATAGCATGGAGCCAAGCATGTTACATCATAGTTTGGCAGCCATGGTTCATATGGAAGCCAGCATTGAAGAGGCTGATCTGACAAAGTTGTAGCTTATTTTGGTCCTTTCCCACCGTTATAGCTTCAAGCACTCTGCCTTGGTTTACTGCAGTGGATGTAATTCATATCTCTTGATTAGACTTTGCGTTTGTACAATAATTCATTCGTTTTCAAACTCAAATTATTTCCTTACAGCTCATGACAAGATATTCCATTCTTTCTCTTGTTATTATTCTGAATTGACAATAAGGCAATGATAGATTTCATACAAATTGTTTTCACTCTAAAATCTCATGGAGTTTATTGTCACACACAGCACTGATGGCACTACTGTTGTGCTTGATGTGGTTTTGTTTTTTTTTCAAACATTTCAAATCTTTACAAACTTCTCTGGTTATAACTAATTCCAATGTTAGAGTCACTGCCGGGACAATTTATGCCCAATTTTGGTTCATTCATGGTGTCTTTGCTAATAACACTATTGCTTTCACATTTATTTGAAAGTACCAAGTTGGAAGGTGGATTTTGCTCGGTGTCAGGGAAGGAGTATTCAGCTTGTGTCAAATCAGCTTGAATGTACAATTTATACAAATAGTGCAGTTTTTGAAATAGTTTACTATTTTTTTCCTGTAATTCTTAGGTTAAGCATTGTACGTCATTAGAAAATGTCGACTTGAATTTATCAATAACCATTGCCTGGCATTCAAGCTAAATATCATTTCTGGATGCAGTACGTGTGTCTGGATTACTTTGGTTACCAGCACGTTTCAAAATATATCGAGTACCCAGTGCAATTTAATTTCCGCCATAAAACAATATTTGCAAAACGTAATTTTGTCCAGTATGCTCCTTTACAAAATGGAAATGATGAGCCTTTTGTTGGTTCAAATATGTGCGGTTGTAAGCTTTCCATCTACTTAGCATTTCTGCAGTTGGAGTGTATGTTACTGGCTGAATTTAATTTCTTCTTGTAGACTTTGCTTGTGACTTTATATTTATGGCGTAAAATTGCCTTTTATTTGAAAAATAACGAATTGTCTCAATCCTTGTTTCTGTGCTCATTTTCTGCCAAGTAATGCATGCAGGATAAATGTGATTATTGGAACTATACATCTGCAATCTCATTACAATGATACATGAAAACTCTGTGTGTGTGCGTTGTCGCTAATAAAACTGTGAACAATGGCACAAGCGTTTGATTTGTTTTTCATCCAGTCAAAAATTGCAGATACATCCTGATACTTCCTAAATTCCATTCCTTGTAGCCATGGAGATAGGACGATTTTTGAGGAACAGTTGCAGAGATGTACCCCACTTCCCTGCCCACAAAAAAAGGAGCTAAAAGCAGAATTGCTTTGATAGAGGGAGTAAGTCCGAACTTCTACCGGTAGTTTTATTTTGTCGCATTTTACATTTGAGGTGTTCTAACCTACAAAACTGCATCACTTGATCTGAAGATGTATTTTCCGGAATGATGAAGTTAAATGACAATGAACGATAAAGTTAAAGACGAATTCAACACAAATCCGCACATGTATCTGGATTTGAAAATAACGGACTTCAAACGTGATAGAGTAATTTTCTAAAACGAGATCGCCAACTTAAAATAGGTTAGTTTTGCGATGACTTACATATTTATCACTTTGAATAAGAAAATATGTAAACCGCAAACACATGCCCTGCCAAATGAAAACCGGCAAAACTGCACTTGTCATTGATTTCATATCGAATTTTACATCGATTTTTAATCTTTTTTGTCTGTTTTCAGGGTCGTGTATTATTTTTTCTCTAAATGCATAGAGTTTAAAGCTTTTTCACCAGTGGCACTGAACATTTTCCAAAACATCGACAGAGATTCAAATATTTAATTTGCTCAATTACAAAACTGAACATAAAACAGATGATTTTTCCCGTGATCATAACTTTCACTTGTTAAAAAATGACAGTCTACAGAAAGACTTTCTTACGAGTAGCTGCTGCGCCTTCCCAATTAAATGTTAAATCCAGCGGTAGGAAAAATTAATCAAACCGTACCCTACGGCTGTTTCCTTGGTATCCGGCGCACGTCGGCCGCATTTATAATCACGAATGCTGAGAACCAATCAGCAACTGATATGCGCCGTATGCGCGTACGTACTAGCTGTACCGGATGCCACGTTATCATAATATATATCATGTACCGACTGTACCGCGGTACCGATCGACATTTCTTAATTCCACGTACCGCTTTCATGTAGAAAAAATGGCTGCGTCCATAGCGAAATCACGACTCACTTTTCTCTGCCTTTCTATTCTAGTTTATTCCTTCGCCGCCGAGATCGCAGCTCATCGGTCTAGTGGGGATGTGCACAAGGAAACGGTGCAGTCACACGAGGGGATCCACAGCCATGACACTCCGCAGGAGGCCAGGATAAAGTCCAATTCGATGCAGAAATGGGGAGATGCGATCGGGGCTACACTCCTCATCAGTGCCGCGCCGTTCCTGATCCTGTTTGTCATTCCGCTGGACAAGGGCCGAGAGGGACAAGAGGCGTTGCTGAAAGTGCTGCTTAGTTTTGCCTCGGGAGGACTGCTGGGAGATGCCTTCCTGCATTTGATCCCTCATGCAGTGTCGCCGCATCATCACCATGGTGACGGGGGAGAGCATCACCATGATCACCATGAACACCATGATCACCACGATCACCATGACCATTCACATGATATGATGGTTGGATTGTGGGTCCTTACTGGAATTGTTATCTTCCTCGTCGTTGAAAAAACCGTCCGCTATCTGAAGGGTCATGGCCATGGACATTCCCATGGCACTCCAAAACCTGTAGAACAGAACGAGACGAGTGTTGTTAATGGGGATGGGAAGTCATCAAAAGAAGGTGGAGCTAGGAGGAGGAAAAAGACGAACAGTGGAAGCGGGACAGAGAAAAAGGGAAAGACGGGGATTGTTGCCAACGGTGATACCGGTGATTCTGGTGTGTATTTTGGCAAAAAGTTATTCAGATATTTCGTTATAATAATTTGAGGTGTTCTGGTAAAATCCATGTCATTTAGGTACAGGCTTTAATTAATGAAATAAGCATGAAGAAACCAATTGGGGGGATTTTTTTACAGGATTATTGATATTTTAACATGTTTAATTTTGTCAACTACAAGTAGTTTAAAAATTAATGCAAATTTCAGGAAAAGTTTTATAGGAATGGGCATCTTTCATATTATGAAACTTGAATTCCAGAGCTTTTTCTCTCCATACTTTTTTTCTTTGGGTCAAGTGCAAAGGTTTAGAATATGTCAACGTGTGGCTGATTGATGTGCAATAAACAGAATTGTGAGGAGAATTTTGAAAACAGTCATGAGATCATTGAAATTGGTACTTGCAGGTGATTGGACGGTAGATTGGAGGACCCAAGAGCATTTCTCCCCATCCCCACCACGTACCTCCCCTTCCAAGTGCAGACATTTTCCATGACATTCTTGTTAAAATTTGCTCTCAAGGAATGTTGTCATTTAACCCCCAATATTTTTTTTCCTGTGAGCTGAATGTACACATCTGATATAAAATTTGTGGAATGTTCCCAATATAGGGCCCAGCTCTATGTAGTCTTTACCACTTTTCTGTAGTGGTAATTTTATGTTCAGGTAAAATTTTGCCAGGCAACTCGGTTAGTTCACAACTTCCCCTCTGTTTTTCTGAATTCTGATATTTTTGCATGCATAAATTACGACTACCAGTATAAAAAACCTGGGTAGGAACTGCCCAACTACTTCACAATCCACCTACATGTACTTCACAACCAATCCATAACACGGCATTTGTCATATTTGGTTGAATTGTTAATATAATCAGAGTGTAAAAATGGAGGGTATTGAATTGAAAACTGTAACTTACAGAACTAAATCTATAAGCCATTAACCCTAACAGTCCTCAATCCTTCACCTGTTGGAGGACTGAGGACTGTTAGGGTTAATGAATTTTCCTTTTTTATTTAATAAAGGTGTGTCAGGCAATTTAAAGCTAAACATGTACATGTAGGGCCAGCATTGAAGCAAAATGATTAGGAAAAATACAATTATTTTAAACATTGGTACAGTGCCTATTCAATATAAGTGCAGTTTTATACCGTGAAGAAATATTTTTTGAACATATGCTCGACAAAACACTGTATTAACCCTAATTTTCCCCAACCACACAGAATTAAACAGTAGTAAAGTGTTTAATAANAACTTGGTGTGAATGGGGAAGGTTAGGGTTAAAAGAGAAAGAAAAACCACCATATGTTCACATTCAGCAGAGAGTAATTACATGCACATAAATTCATGTAGAATTGTACATGCAAATAACAGTAGATTTTAAATGCTGAACTCCAGGCAAATTAATCCTTGGGACATGATGCGTATTGCTGTGCAGATGGCAGAAGGTTTTGGGATAGAAGTTTGTCCACAGCACTGTACATCAGGAATGCAGAGAGAGTGTTTTATGGGGACACGTTTGGTTGGGTTGATAAAGATGATACTGTCAACAATCTCACTTCATTGATTTTGGAGTGGCGCACATGTTCAAAGGTCCTGTTGGTGAGAAGTGCCATATGGAACAGCATCTCATGTCATCATATTCCAATCAATTTGTTTATCGGTTCCTTGCATTATAAGCTGATTCAAAGTATATTTGTGTTAGTTATTTTGTGGTAGATACACAGTATGTGGTTCTGCTCCAGTCATTATTGGCAATATGCATAACTACCTCTAGACAGAGTTGTTTAACTTGAGAGATACTGAGAACCTTACAGGTGGAAATTGACTTGCACAAGGAATAATTTTTTGTTAGAATTGATGGTGATGGTACCATTGACAATGACCAGTGTATCTAAAGCCTTATAGTTCAGGAAAAATTTGGCTTTTTTCAGATAAGAATTTTTAAAGTAAAACTAACACTGCCAAAGCTTAAATATTTCCAAAAATACATGCACTGTTCAGAAGTCTTTTTTATTAATCTGAAACATTTAAGAAGTTTCTACAGGTGGGAGAATGATGTCTTTTATGTCAGGTGTTCGGTGCAGGGCCAACTTCACAGTTTTCTTCTCTTCCCTTGCCCTTTGTAATCCGTCATCTAATTAATTGTTTAACTTAATTTGTTATTTGGCAGATGAAGGCATCAAAGTAGCTGGCTATCTAAACCTAGCAGCAGACTGCACGCACAATTTCACTGACGGCCTTGCCATAGGAGCGTCATTCCTCATTAGTCGCAATGTCGGTATCGTCACGACCATCACCATCCTCTTGCACGAGGTGCCCCATGAGATAGGCGACTTTGCCATTCTGGTACAGTCAGGCTGCAGCAAGAGGAAGGTAAGAGGGTTTGTGGGTAATGCAGGGACTTCTGGGTAATCGTCCATTTTCATTCTGACAGTTGAAGAGCTGTTTCTGATTTCAATGTTATGATTCATTTGGAATCATGCCGGAGTCAGTCATATCAGTTTTTTGTCACTACTTGTGTAATGATGTTTTGTATGAAATTTATTTTCAACAAAAATTCATTATTCAGTGTCGTAAAACACTTTCTGAAAGTTTTCTTGTAGTAGTTTTCTTAGGGCAACAGAAAAAGTATATTCAAAGAGAAATGAATAGGCCTGCTATTTTTCCACTTTGAGCTCTTAACCACTTCCTGCCGGGGCATTTATCAATGTTGATGATGCTGGGGCAGGATATTTATCATTTTTTTCTGTTTTCAAATTTCTTTAAGAATTCCTATCTTCATTTACAGGACAATTACCAACATGTGAAGGCATGTCTGGTGTCCTCTCTAGCCAGACAGACAAAATCTATGGATGCCTGAGTATTTCAGCCAGGCCTGCAGCCTTGTAAAAAGAGCCCAGATTTTGTGGTGTTGCATAATATTCTTTTGTTCATCAACCTGGCTCAGTGCACTGCTGACCTCTTTTCAATAGGGGCCTGATTACCGTGCAGCGGTGCTGTGTGGCTCATCGCTGCGGTGGTGGAGCGCTTTTGTCCCCAGTGGTAATCCGCTCGCTCTAAATACCCCAAACCATGGTACACTGTTTCAAAACAAGGCTGGATTATTTCCACCTTTGAGAGTGAAAAAATGTCCGTAAGGCCCCGCAGCCTGGTCTTTTGTTCTGAGTACGGTCTTTACAAGGCCCCGTTCCTTTTGTCCAAGTTCGGAGATGCTGGCCACACATATAAAGCATATGTGTCTGGATCCGGAGTCCCCGGCAGGAAGTGGTTAAACACAGCACACTAAAATAAATGTTACTTGCATCCATCTTGTTGCAGGCTATGTATCTTCAGCTTGTTACAGCTGTCGGAGCCCTTGCTGGCTGTATCACAGCCCTACTGGCTGAGGGAGGGGATGACTCCGCCCCCAGCTGGATCCTGCCTGTCACTGCAGGGGGCTTCATCTACATAGCAACCGTCTCCGTCATACCAGAATTACTTCAGCATAACAACATCAAGCAGTCTATCGCCGAGATACTAGGACTGTTATCCGGTGTCGGTCTTATGATCCTAATTGCATATATAGAGTGAGAAATTAAGTTTTTTATTTTTGTTTCCTGCAGTACAATGATATTTTACATACGTAGATTTTTTTATGATGTGAAATGGTTCTTCAAGATAGATAATCATATCAATTTGCGCATACTGTCAGTGTCATATGCTTGATGCACAGCTTATTCAAATGCTCCATCCAAATCAAGTGGCCGTGGCTGCATGTAATAGACGTCTTTATGGGAAGTGGCTGTAGCCACAAGCCAGTGGCTTTCATAGGTCCACATGTTATGTTTAGCCACAGCCACAACCTTTGGACAGGGACTTAGTTCTTGAACCAAACTACAAACTGTTATGTGCGATGGCTGCCTGCATGCATTATCATGTCAGTCTTGCATCAGAGGCCTTTTCTGTCTTTGATGGGTTTGGTAAAAGATTTCCACCTGGCTTTAACATTTGTATCCTTCCTTCCATTTTTGCATTGGCGTTGGTATTTGCTGTGAATATCCAAATCCACAGACTCTGAGTATCCACCTCGAGCGGAAGCACCCCCTCATCATTTGAAAAGAGCCATGTTGGCCAGGAGTGTTCAATTTGTTAGTAGTGATGCAACAGTGACGCATGTATTTCCCAGTCGTTCGTGAACCAACAAAGTTCAGTTCCGACCAATGGAGCTTCTGTTGCTAAGAAAATGGTGCCCGCTCTTGGTCCAGCTAGAGGCCCATAACCTCAATTATTCACCAGAACCAGCCGTAGGTCAGGTGTATGGATACCTGCTGGTTGTGGTGAGGAAAAATAAAGCCTAGTTGTTGTTTAAAGGAAATCCAACACTGATGGAAGCCAAAATAAATTTCCCTTGATTCTAACTTTTAAATATTTTTCAGAGTTGATTTAATGTTGTCTTTAATGTCATTGATGTTGTGTAACCAAAATGGTGCGTGTAATTTTCCAAGACCCTGTAACCCAACCTTCAGGTGTTTGAATCTTTTTCTCTTTTTCCCTCATGTATTGTGGTGTAGGCGTTGGGTAGGATTGTTTGTACCCTTAGTGGAACAGGTTTCTTTTTTTCAGCAGTGCTTCGTGAAAAATGATTACTGTTGATGACTCTCTCATTCAGTCCACATTTTAAAGCCTTGTCTGCAGATATTGTTTATCTTATATAACAGGATTAAAAGGTTTATCCAATAAAAGAAAAATTCCTTATCTTTAAGGAGAAAAATTAAAGATTATGTTCATGTTACACATTGGTTTCTTGCCAAATTAGTAAAATTATCAGCTTAGGAATGAGTACAGTTAGTGTTTGACAAAAGCAGTATTTTTGTAATCTGTGGAATGTCTTAACTGTGAAAGATCACATGCACTGGGCCACAACTTTGCTGGAAGACATTCTACCTACATGTACATGTCATGTATTGCACACAACATGGTTACAGGTTTGCACTTGTGAAGCGTGGAGTGTAGGCCCAGTACACGACCACATTCCATTTAAATGTGCAGTCTTGATGTAAGAGCTGGGTACCAGTTTATATATTGTTAGCCTCGCCTCCTTTAAATCAAGCTCTAATACACGACAGAGCGCATCAGCTGTATAGAGGGATATATTACACTTCATATTTTTTCATTGGTTCCTTGCCACGTTAAAGGAACTATTACCAAGTACCAACTGCAGGGGGTCTATTGCTTAGATATGACTGGTTATGTTATTTGTGCAGATTTTTTATCATAGACACTTGTGTCTCCTGATTGATTTGTGAAGTATTGCTTGTTACACTTGTGAAGCAGTATATTTGTCTGTGGCACTGTAATTGAAATGTAAATATTTTTTCAAGTCAGTTGCTGACAGATCCAAAGAACAACGAAGCACACACAACGAATTTATATAGACAGGGACTTTTGTCTTTCTGACAGGCTAATAAGGCAGAATTTACAAATGTAGAAGTTGGAGAATCAAAGTTAAGATATATAGGCATTTTGTGTTAAATTTTTAAGTGTCAACAGTGTATGTGTGGTGACAGAGTGGTTCCTACTGAAACAGACACTTCCATCAATGCCATGATGTAATGCCTTGGCATCTCCAGGACTTTACAGTCAGCCAACTTTGTTCAACTTTTTGAAATTTTAATCCAGCATTTCTTTGATCCGGACAGAGTATTTTTGTTTTTTGTTTTTTTTTTGCTCAAGAAATTATTGACATAAGTTTGGTTAAAACTTTTACAACATTCTTGGACTTTGTCCACTATGCATGACTGCAATGTGAATTGTTTCTGCCTTCATTACAATTAAAGAATGGAAAATAATCATAAATGCATAATTTGTGTATCTTTGCAATGAGAGTATATGTTTGTTGGTTTCACTCTTGAAAAACAAAAATGTAATTGTGACTCAAAGTGGCTACTTAATGTATCATGTATTTGTATGCATTGGTGGAAAATAAATAACAGTAAGCGGAGGAAGTAGTTGTTTTGTACTTGAAATCTCAAGTATTTTGGAAGTTTATAGCTTTTAACCCCCCCCCCGACACAGCCCAACATATGCCTATCATTCCACTCTTGGGCTGAAGTAAAAAATATGTTTGGGGATGCCAGGGAATCCGTGATTTTTCAAAGGGGGGGGGCGGTCATGAACTAAAAAAATTGAGAGTCGAGGCCGTAAAAATTAGGGAGGTTGAATAATCGGCAGGAGAACTTTTTTTTTTACCCCTTTGTCACATTGAGGCTGGGTTTCTCGTCCTCTCATTTCCCTCCCTCCATTTTTTTTAATTTATTTTTTGAGTGAAAAAGGGGTTTACGCCCCGTGGATACGCCCCTGGGAAATTATGTTGCTGTAATTAATCAGTTGGTTATTTTTATGCATGAGCGCTGAGCAAAGTTAAAGGCTGTATGATGCTTGACGCCCTCTCTCGAATTCGCTGGTACTCATGGTAATTGTCTAATGCTGTTGAGTAGGGAATTGTGTACCAGGCAGTTTACCGTCCGGCCAGTCGATCGAGCGGTCGCCCTCGTCGTACACGTGCGCGATTTCAGTGTAATGGAAGTTGTTCGGAACTGAGTGACCGATAGACGGATTTTCTGATAAATTTTCCGTTTGTCATCAGCAGTTGTTTGGTCCATCATACCCTATGAAACGACACGCATCATGTCAGACCAGGCAAAGCTGAAAGAATCCGTCAAGAAGTCCATTAGGGGGCTGGTTGGGTCCGCCCCTTTGGGCCTGACACCCGAGGAAGTTGCCTTGGACTATGAAAGTTTCGAGGGCCGGCCGTTGCCCTTCCGTCAGCTGGGATACAACACTTGCCAAGACTTCTTACAAGACATCCCCGACACTGTCAGACCCTGTTGGGAAAGAGGGCAACTTATCGTGCGAGTCGTGGAAGGAGAATCGACCCGACATATCCATAGCTTGGTGTCCAGGCAGAAAGTTGATGTTTTGAAATGCCTGAAAAAAAGGCGTGGGGCAGCACGTGCTGGCGCACGGACATTGTTGACAGACGCGAACGCGCCGGGGCGACCGGCGGGGGGCATCGCACTCAATACCCGGCCCAACACCAGAGGCCCGCCCGCTCTGTCCCCCTCTGTTTCGGCGTACTTGCGCAACCAGATCAAATCTCTCTTGATCGCACACCCCAACGGAGTCTTGAACGTACACTTTGACAGACTGTTTGCGGAGAAATATGGCCACACGATCTCCTTCAAGAAACTCGGGTTTGAGTCCCTGGCACACATGTGTCAATCCATGCCAGACTTTGTGACCCTAGAAAGACTGAGAGGAGATGAGTTCCGAATCTATGAGAAGTCTAATCACCCAGCAGTCAATGAACCAACTTCTGATACAGTTTCATCATCCACTCAGCGCACTCGAGCTAACAAAACAGAACATGTTCAGAGAGATAATGTAGACTCATCACTTCCCGGTAGTCACACTATTTGCTATTTTGGCTGTAATAATGAAATTCGTAAAGAAAAAAATTTTTGTAAAGTTTGTATGCAGATTTTCAACAGCTTTTCATCACATGCAAGGTTTCAGCGTGTAAACAGTAGGCAATATTGTAGCTGAAAGCAGATTTTCGGCTAACATTTGTAAATACTGCCTTTGATGATAGTGACCACAGACAGCTGTAACTCTTCATGACATGAGATGTCATTCCACGATACATTCACAGTATAAATAGTTTTCCTATATTTGTTTTACCACACAGATAGCAGAAAGGCACCTCTTGCTAGTTGTAGTTTTGAGGACGATGAAAATTTCAAACAAAAATCAGCTTCTAACGTCCCACGGCCAAGTAACGCCACCTCCCACAGCAGCACCATGTCAAAAAATGCGGGTTATGCAAACTCTACCGAGCAGCCAGGGAGACTAACTGAGCCACAATCTGCCCAACGTACAAGGCCACAAGTCACGAAAAGCTCAAATGCATCACAAGACGTCTCAAAGGATGTAAATGCCTCATCGGAAGATGGCAGTTTGACATCCGAATTGTTTGATACAAAGTTTCTGCAACAAATTCGACAGGTGTCTATATTTAGAGTCTTTTTGTCAGCAAACATTTCTCGCTAGTGTTTACATGTATGCTTTGCATAAGAAGGTTTCAGTCAGTTGGCAAATCAGCGCTTGGCTTTGTGTTACATGATCAATGTTATGTATAAAGATTCCTGTTTCATCTTCTCTAATGCCTAAGGGCCTGTTTGTTTCTCATGGATCTTGATCTCAACCAGTGATCCCATCACTGGTTCACTCCATCCATTCAGCAGGTTTTGGTGTAAGTGAACCAATGACAGACCACTGATGGCAATCCAAATCCCTCTGAAACAAACTGGACTGTAGATATTTGGCTGTTCAAAATGTTTTTTGTGAGGAAATGTTTGTATTATTCCACAATTGTTTTATAAAAATTTCCTTGCGTTATCTTTGAAGCTAACATCACAATGTTGCTTTGTGTGTCCAAATAGATTTTGGAACGGCACCCAGAAGGCCTGTGGGCAGCTTACTTGCCAGATGAGTATAAGGTACCTGACTTTGACCTTTTTTTGCAGACTTTACAAAAAAGACCTTCATTTCAATTAAAAGTTCTATAGAATCAGCTTATGCATACCATGAATATGAAGATAAAACTTTGGACAAGTATAACAAAACTTAAATCTTCTGTAATAAATTCAATTTTTTGGGGGGGGACCAATTCTTGTTTTTCCTTAGAAAAAATATAAGAAAGCGCTTCCTATGATGTCGCTGGGTTACTTCAGTGTCACAGAGCTGATGGCAGCCATGCCAGAAGTGGTTGCCGTAGAGAGAGAACAGAAACAAGGTGACTGGAAACTCTACGATGTCAGGACGTACAAACCTAAGACAGTCGGTGAGCTCTTCCTAGAAACTTTTACCACAGCGGATGGCACCAACACTTTGAAAACTCTGTTAGCCACAGATTCGTTTGATTTATAATCCCCGTTCTGAGCTTGAAGGTTTGGTACAGGAACTTCGTAAAAACCGTGCAAGAACAAAATCTTCAGATGCAGGATGTATGATTGTGATAAACTAAGCTTCCTTGAAATACCGTTATCGCAGAATTTTCTGCTACAGCAAGAACAGAAAATCTTTGTTTTCTCATTCCAAGTAGTTTTTCATCTTCTTTTAACAGAATCTGCAAAATCCAAGGCTAGCTCATCCGACCAGAACGTCAAGGCAAACAAGAAACTGAACCCTAATCCCACCCAAGGCTTCCAAGATCTTAAGGACAAAGTCCGTCAGTTGCTGGAGAAAAATCCGGAGGGCATCTTGTTGAAGAACTTGGCTTTCTATTACCAGGTGAGCTGATGGTTGGGAAGGGTCCATGTGTCTCAAAAGTGAGTGGTGTTTTGGTGTGGATCAATGTGTCGACTTCCATAGTCCATCAGCAGGATTCATGCAAAGTGTGCTCTGTCCATGTTCGTGTCTGTTTTCCCCAGTCATTAGAATTTGGCTTTGAGATGCTGGACTTTTTTGTGTCAGTTAGGCAAGGCATTTTCTATCCCATCTTGTTGTTTTTTCATCAAAGACTTTTCCATACCAATGATCAAAAATATTACCAATAGGTCTACATTTGATAACGACTCTGTATTATCAAGAAGCCTGCATCTTGGGTTTTAAAGTGATAGAATGCTTTTGACTTGACAAAACATGCTTTATTTTGTTTGATTGGTTATTTTGGCAGAGGATGTTTGGTTTATCCTTCCCCGTTGACGAACTTGGCTTCCGAGATGTAGAATCTCTCATCATGATGATGCCAGACACTGCCACATTAGTCTACAAGGGATACGGTAAACCAAATAACAGCACTTTGCATGAATGTAACCCAGATGTCATTTCAAATCTTTGAATGAGGGTGAAGTGTGTGACAGTTTTGATAGCTGTAAAGAAATTTGTCATAAAACTGCTTGCAGAGCGTATCAGTGAAGCTTGAACTGGTGAAGATTCATTGAATTTTTCATTCCTAGGTCGCCTTCTAGTGATGCTAGTTGAAGAGATGCCGGTGGATAGTCTGAATATTGGTGATGAAAAAGTAAGACCCAAAAAAGGGGACGTCACCGATGAAAGCTAAAACTTGTTTCAAATGCTGTTAAATTGTCTCATTCCTCTCGCTCGTAATCATGTAAAGATGGAGATGTCTCTGAGTGATACTCCTTTAATGCCCTCTTCTTTTGTCCTAGCTATCAAGACTGTCGATACCTGCTGATTCTGTGGGTTGGGGGTTCAGTTACTCTTACTGTGAATATCCACCGATCCAAGACTACATCGAGGTCTACGTGGCCACCGTCTTCACTCCACACAGGCTTTCTATCCAACTCAAAGACAAGTTGAGAAATGATGCACTGGACGATCTCATGGATGAATTGGAGTATGTAATTTCTCTACTGATCAAATTTTCTAATTACGTGCATTTTGGGGTAGGGGGAAACATTCTCACGGAGTCACGATCACTCCATAAAATTTTACAAACATCACAAAATACATAATTCTCCTAATTTGTTATTCATGCTTTCATATGAGATGTTAGTCCCAGATTGATGCACGTCTTTTAAATGTTTTGACATTGTTTTGTAGATCTATCTACTCATACCCAGAGGGAAACAAGTACGAGTTTCCAGAGTGCATGATTGCCGTGGGTCAGGTCTGCTGTGCGCTCTACCTCAGTGACAATAATTGGCACCGTGCCGTCATCACCGGTATCCCCAAAGTAGATTTCCTGGAGGTGGGTCGTGGAGGTTATGGTTTAACCCATCAAGAAAGGCTGTATATAAATGCAGTGATGTTCAGAATCTGTCTTCCTTTATCAACAAAGCTTTGGAAGTTACGTATTTGCAAAATTATTGAAACTTAAAAGTATTCTTGTCTGCATTCAGGTATTGTATGTAGATTACGGAACTGTGGCCACTGTGTCAAGATCGTCGCTGAGATTACTCAAGTAAGTTGACTTGTTTCCACTTTCTTGTAGAATTGAATCATCTCACCCAAAATAGACCGATTGCACCCTCTAAGTCATGTGACTTATAGTGGGTATTAAATATAAACAAACACGTCGTCCACACAAGCAAAGTGTTTCATAAGTATCATTTACTAAAAATAACGCAGACGGTAGGTACCGTACTCGGACTACTGATGTACTGGGTACTATTCTCTAACTTGGCTGTACTGTTTGTAAACAACACTCAAAACACAGGTTGTCATGGCGTTGATACCCAGTATAGGTCACGTGATTTAGTGGGTGCAATCAGTGTTATATATATAACGGTTTTGCCC